GTCGATGTTACGAACATTACCCAGAGTAGCATTAAATAACATTCGAAATAATCCTGGTGCAAATAAGCCTGTTAGTATCATTTTGATGTGCTTGAAATTAAACTTTGTATGAATTTCTGAATGAAAAATATAGCATTTCTAACAACAATATTTTTTAATTTTTATATTTAATTTCGCGTGAGATTCTAATCTAAGTCACATTGTTCGACTCGAACAATAATTTTAGATTGAATTACATTGTGTGTAATACAATTACAATTTTCTATAAGTATATATAAGTTTCGTTTGATAATTTTGTATTTTGTAAAGAATGTGTTTTTTAAAAATAGTCAAAACGTGGTCGAGGTCAACATGGTGGAGACAAACACGGAGATGGTAATAAAGGATCTGGTCAAAGACAAAATTTCATGCGAACTGGATACGAAACTGGAAACAACCCGTTTTACCTTAGATTTAGTTATGAACCATACTATAAAGGGCATCAGTAAGTTGTTTAATTTTCATCGAAATTTAACGTGTAAAGTAAAATTTTAAAACTAAGCCAAATTACAAGTTAAAAATAAGATGTGTTCGCTATTATAAATCACAAAAAGATGAAACAAGGCAGGTATCATTTTGTTTTACGTGTATTGTAGTTTAAGAAGAGAATACCCTCCTTTATCTTTACAACAACTGCAAATGTTTATCGATACAAATAGACTAGATCCGTCTAAACCTATTGACCTTGCATCTATAATCAACACAGGATTATACGACTTTAAAGTAGAATGGAAACACTCAGGTGTTCATCTTACGGACGAGGTTGTATTTAAATCTGTATTTTTGCACAGAGATGTTAAATAATCGAGTCTCTAAAATTTTGAAGTTTTAAATTCATGTTTCAGGGAGTTGATAACTTCAACGCAAAAGTTAATATAGAAGTTCAATGGGCCAGCGAACCTGTAATTGCGGCAATTGAGAAAAATGGTGGTACTATTACTACTGCGTACTACGATATTCATTGTTTACACGTGATAAAGGATGTTGATAAATTTTTTACTACCGGTAAATTTTTAGAGTCTATTAAAATTAAAAAGGTACTTGATAATGTTATATTTAAAATATATTCGTTGTTTAGGAGTGCCAATACCACGCAGACTTTTGCCTCCGTCAGATTGTCTAGAATATTACATGAACGCAGAAACAAGAGGATATTTAGCAAATCCTGAAGAAATTTCTCGTGAACGTTTGGTTTTATCTCAGAAATATGGTTATGAATTACCAAAGATTGAAGACAGTCCCAATTATGAAATGCTTACGCAGCGTAAAGATCCTAGACAATTGTTTTACGGTCTTGAACCTGGTTGGGTTGTGAGTTTGAAAGATAAAGCGATTCTTAAACCTAAGGCTGATTACCTTAAGGAATTTTATTCCAGTTGAAGCATTCTTTTGTAGAACACTAATGGCTAAATAAATAACTTGCAAAATTGAACAAGCTAATGCTTAATATTGTAGAATTTGTAGTAAATTAATACCAGATATTTGATGTAGATTAAACGTTTTTTTATATATCTCGAATAGTAGATAATAAAATAACTAAATATAAGCAGTAGGTAATAAAATAACCATAAATAAAACATTTCTTTTTAATTAAATGGAAATATGTATCATGTAAATGTAAAATATGTAAATATAGACTAATAAATTTTAGACTCATTTTGTGGCTCTCGTGCATAATTCATTGTTTTGATTTTTTCTGTCGAAAATATCTCATAATAATGTGCAATGAATATTCCTGAAAAAACATAACCTGTAACATGTAATACTTTTGATGTATGAATAAAAAAAAAAAAAATAAGTAAGAACTAAAAGACCCGTTATCAAGCTAGAGAGTGGTAAGGGTGCAACGGAGTTGAATCAGTAGTCTTTCGTTCGACAGGTGCTCTAACCCACTTCTCTTAATATAATATTTACATCTCGAGTTAAAACAATTCAAAAAATGGCATTTTGCATCGAATCCGAAAAGGATTATGGATTTTTGTTAAAAAGTTTAATTGCCGGTGGTAAGTTCAATATATTTTTTGATATAATGTATTTTTACTCAATTATTGTTCGTTTAAAATGAATTGTTACACGAATAATTTATCATCAGCTTCTACCAGTGATGGTTATTATTAACTTTAGATAATATTTATTGTTGTTGTTAAGAAAACGTGGCAGTATTGTTACATAAACCGTTTAATAATAAATAAACGTTGAATTATCATCGGTAAACGTTTCACAGGAGTAGCTGGAATGTGTTCAAAAACAACAGTGGCACCATTAGACAGGATAAAGATATTATTGCAAGCACATAATAAACATTATAAACATTTGGGTAAGAAATGCAAGGGCAGTGTTTAAAAGTTGCACAGTCAAAGTGTTAATTTATTATTTTATATAGGAGTTCTTTCTGGATTGAAAGAAATTATTCAACGTGAACGATTTACTGCTCTTTACAAAGGAAATTATGCTCAAATGATTAGAATTTTTCCATACGCTGCAACACAATTTACTACATTCGAATCATACAAGAAGGTACGAATTATTAGTCCATTCGTAATTTTTTGCATTAAAACAATTAAAAAAATAATATTAATTTGTTCTGGGTAAAGTGGTACAGCGCAAAGCGAAGTAACTGTTATTAATATAATGACATGCTCATGATTTAAAGGTGAGCTTTTACAATTTAGGATACACTGTTGGATAATTTTATGTATGCGATATGCAGAAATGCATATACACAGAAACACATATATGTAAAATGTGTTTGTAAAAATGTTTAATAATTTATTCATAGAAATATAAAATAGGCATACAGTTTTAACGAGGGGAAATAGATAAATAATATTTTTTAAAGTAGTTAAATACATGGACTAGATTGTTACTAAATTATGATTCTTTTTATTTTTAATAGTATTTAGGTGGTTTATTTGGAACGCATACTCATATAGATAAGTTTGTGGCTGGATCTGCAGCTGGGGTTACTGCAGTCACATTAACATATCCACTTGACGTAATTCGAGCAAGACTTGCTTTTCAAGTTGCCGGAGAACATCTTTATGTAGGAATCGTACATGCGGGTATCACAATTTTCAAAAACGTAAGTTATATATTAGTTCATATCATAGAACTAACGAGAGATTTGTAAAATTTATTTATAAATAGATTCTATTGAAAGATTAGTATCATTGTAGTGTATATTGATACATTTTCTATTAAAAAAGTATGACTAATCTACATTTGAAATTACTTATTTTAAATTACTTATTTTTTGTTAAAATGCACAAGAACGTAAATTAGCAGTCTGCTTTAGTTAAAAGTAGTTAATTATTTTTTTTATACATGTCAATAAATATTATGTAAATTGTGAATCGATTTATATTATTATTGCTTTGTATGATATAAGGAAAAGATATTTATAAATGAAAATAACGCAATATTGTATCGTTGAATACTTCAGGAAGGTGGCATTCGAGCATTGTATAGAGGATTTTGGCCAACTATTATTGGCATGATTCCATACGCAGGATTTTCATTTTATTCATTTGAAAAGCTTAAATATTTTTGCATGAAGTATGCAGCAAATTATTTTTGTGAAAAATGTGATAGAAACACTGGTATGATTTTTAAATTTTTATAGATTTATTAAAATGTAATTTTACTAATATAAATTACTAATATAAATTAAATACTAATATAAATTAATACCTATTGATAAATTGAATATTTGATAAAAATCAAATGTTAATATAATCACAGGTGGCTTAGTTTTAACGATACCTGCAAGATTATTGTGCGGAGGTATTGCAGGTGCTGTTGCTCAAAGTTTTTCTTATCCGTTAGATGTTACTAGAAGACGTATGCAATTAGGTATGATGAATCATAATATTCACAAATGCAAGTAAGTATATCAACTTTACGGTGCGAGAAAGAAAGAGCTTTGCATCTATTAATAATTTATGTGATATTTAATAACAATTCATTTTTAGTTCTAGTATGTTACAGACTATAAAAATGATATATAAAGAGAATGGTATCGTAAAAGGTCTATATCGTGGAATGAGTGTTAATTATTTACGAGCTATTCCGATGGTATCAGTTAGTTTTACAACATACGAGATCATGAAACAATTACTACATTTAGATACGGGACTAAAATTCTAATTTATTTAATCGGAACATATATTTGCAATCTAATTCTTATATTTCAATGTATTATTAACAATATGTAATACTTTCTAGAGTCACTGAGACATGAATATTTTTGATGATCTTTATATTGTAAGGAAGATAATTCTTTTAATTTAATTTATTATTTTTGTACAATAAATTTATGCAATATTATGAATATATAAAATATGCGTGCATTAATATGTATTCGTAGTGGTTCTGCGAATCTTTACCATCAAGTTTCATTCCTGTTGATACAAGATCGAAAATTGATTTCTAATACCATCGTGATGGTACCGATTTGTCTGACATTACGACGATTTTGATGAAACGAACAAAAAATTATATTTTATTTATGTTACTTGGTAATATATTGCATATGCAAAATTAGAAAAGATTCTAATAACGCTACTTGTAATTAGAAATTATTATTGACGTTTAAAAATTATTGAAGACCAAAGATTGTGATATGACAGGGTATTTTTATTCATAGTAGTTAGTATTTTAAGATTTTAATGCAAAAAATATGATAATTAAAACAAAGAAATTGTAATTTCAGTTTTACGAATAAATTATTTTTTTTCTAATTACTACCTTTGATTTAAGTCCCACGATCACTATTTTATTAATTACCAGCAAAGAAAAAATAAATTTAAAAAAAAATTATAATTTTAGTTAATTGGTAATATATATATATATACAAATACAAGATATTCCCAAACTTTGATTCCACAACAAACGATACAATACATTCAAAAAATTAAACCGATTTAAAAAGTTGCTGTATCATCAAGTTCTTATTAATGACAAAATTAATTTCAAGTGAATAATAAGTGATAATGATCGTACTTATCGATAATTGTAATTTACAAAATTATGTATTATCGTGTAGTTTTACTCGGGCAAAGAAAGTACAAAGAATAACAAAAATGTTGGAAAACTACTAAAAAGTAAACTACCTACCTACTCTTAAATGTAAAACTTTTTCAAAATAATACGTACTGTATAAATTCTGTTTGTTTGTTTTTTTGAGCGGTGTATCAATTTAGTCCTAAATTCAGAATATCCTTCATAGCAATTTGCTATACTTTAACGTCTCACTGGCATTTATTTATTGCATATATTTGAATATTTTAGTCATTTTCAACAAAATTTTAGGGTAAATAAATTCTTTGTTAGTATAAATTATACTTTGTAATAAATAATTTAGCTCACTGATGGTTTAATTTGAAATGTTTATTTTTCAATTAATTGCTTCGTAATAAATGTTTATTTTTGTACATATACTTAAAGTATCACTAGGATTATATAATTTATAAATATGACTTTAATCATAAAAATTTATCTATTTCTATAGAAACTTACTTTCAAAGTCTTTATATGTTGAAATACAGATGAATAATTATTATTTATTAGTCTTTAAGACCAATAATTAGTCTTATTCGTATCATATGTCTTGCATTACATTAGTTTAATGTGTAAAAATGACGTAAGACTCTAAATATGATAACATTTCTTTATTTTCCTTGCTTTCATTTATAATGAGACGATATAATATTAAATGAAGGCATATTGTTTACCTTGCTTCAGCAAGCTAATTTAAAATTTGTAACGTAATATTTTTAAGATGCGTAAAACCAGGGACATATGCTGAAAGTTAAAAACCAAGTGCACACACATAAGTCACACAAGTTGTTTAAAGTTTTTTACGTTTTATATAAAACATTGCAAAAGATATTGTTGTAAAAGATATTATTTCAAATTGATATATATACAACATAGTGACGTATAACAATTATATACACTTATAAAACTGATTTTATCCTGAATTTATGTACATAATAAATAAGTTTAAAACATTTTGAGTTTTAATTTCAATTTATGTATGTGCATTGGCAATCGATCAAACAGCTTTCGATAAAAGTATATCCTTTTTTCAGCTTAATTTAATTTATGATTATTTTATGAAAATTTTCATGTAAGTACATAAAATATCGACATTCAATGTCAAAATTAAAGTGAAACAGAAAATAACTAGACGCATGATTTTGAAATGTTGATTTTTAAAAATTAATATAACATACAAGTTTATTTATGATATTGAAATTTATGCCATGTACGAAATATTTATGATATTGAAATTTATGCCTTGCATGAAATATTTAAAAAAGGGAATAAATAGAGCTAATACAAAATTAACTATACGAGCTCTGAAATCTATTACTGATTACTAAAAGGCATACTTCTAATTAACTCAATCTGTTTCGCCTGTTATATCATAATTTTCTTTTCTCTCTATATAGGAAAATTTATTTCTTTCGTAACCCAAAAAATATGTCTAATATGTAATATATAAAACAAAAATGAAAAAATGCTTAGTCCTGCATCATGCAGAAAAGGTTGCTGTATCCACAATATGGTTTCAATATGGTTTCTGTGCTATTTTCTTTTACATTTACAGTCTTAGTAAATTGCTACAGTGTGCATCTATACATTTTTCATTTTATTGTTACTACTGTATCGTTTCATTATGCGTATGCTCGAATTACATGTTAATTCTATGAAATTATGTATTCTGTGAATACGTTCAATGCTCATGTATACAATGCTTGTGTATTGACGAGTATGAATGATTTGACGCAACACATTAAATTCATTAAACTTGCATTACACATGTTTATTTACCAGAAGCATTTTATACTTATTAATTAGTAAAAAAGTTGTCGGTAGGTTCCCAAGCAATTAACTTTCAATTTAATGATTGTGACTGTATGAATTCATTCGGTATAAAGTGTGTGTTTCACTTAAGAAGTCTCCATAGGATTGATGCAAAGTTTTTTTTTAATTCTCAAATATCACATATCTTGATAAATCATAAGACATAAGGTGACCGATAACATTTACATTTGATACTAATATTTAAAAATTTGAGGTCTAAAAAGGAAATGAAGAGACATTGAGAATAAGAACAGCAATGAGCAAACCTGAAAGAAAATAAATACGGAATAAACATGACTGGCGAACATGCGCTAAATTATTCTTTTAACAATTATAAAAATAAAATTTATAAAAATTATATTTCGACGATTAAAACGCTAAAGAATTTCTTGAATTGTACATACGGCACAATGTATATATGCCAAATTCACTGTTGCATCAACCCTTTATATATTTCCCTCAAGTGGAACATTTCATGCTCCATTCACACTTGAATTATGTGACACTCTCTTAAATATAATCTATTATCATTTTGATACACTTTTTGAAATCTTAAACAACATTTCTATTCAGTACGCGCAACGAACAATTTTGCTTGTACAAACACATTTTTTGTAAAGTGATATTTGTTCAAGGTTTCAAAATAATACCATGCACAGTTTTTTATTCGCACTATTTCTTATATTCATTTTTTTTGTTTCGATAATAAAAAATACAAGCAATACAATAAAAGTTGTAGAATTCAATGCGATACGTGATTTTTAATTGGTACGTGTGTACATTATTGTTTGTTTTTTTCTATTTGCATATATTTAATGTTGTGTCTACATGTATGGTGTGAGACACACGCAAAATACTCGGTTGTGTGTGCCATCTCTCAACAAGACACCGCAAACAGTCATGATATAATACTTGAGACTATGTAATGTAACGTGTAAGGATAGCTGCAACCTCACACTTTATTGATGTTCTATCATAAATTATATTCAGTGGCATTGCTATGAAGCCTGAAACATTTTCATACCCCTACCTTAATAAATAATTCAGGGGATTTGATTCTTTACAAGAAATAATCTGGTGTCCGCCTGGTAACGTGCGGCTCACCGCGCCTTGGAGCTGGGTCAAATTGAAGGCTGTAAAAATGAAAAACGAAACATTAGATGGCACTGAATAAGTGAAAATAATTCATATACTCTTTTTCACTCGTGATACTATTTAGTATAAAATTATTATATTTACAATGAATATTTTAAAGCATCATCTAATTCCATAATCGCGGCTTGATTCCCACAACGATAGCAGTAATTGGGAGCTGAGAATATAGTTACGACGTTGCGATCATGACACCTGTAACAATAAATTTATGTACATGAGATAAAAAAAAGAATTTTGCAGTGTTACAATATTTATAAAAAAACGCGCAAAATATTTATCAAACAATATACTAAACCGTAAGTAAACAATTTTAATAAATATACCAATTGTAACCCTCCATAACTAGCTGATGGGCTCGTGATACTAATGTCAGGCCATTAGAATGATTAAAAGTTTCTGAAATATCTTGTCCAAAAGTATATCCTGCACCACGAGGAGAAATACCCCACCCTCCTCTATCATCTGGATCTGACCACAAAAGATCACACATGGGTCCCTAAAACAGAACAAATACAATGTTCCATCTATCCTTTTTTTTTTAAAATTTGGAAAGACAATTATAAATGCTCACCTCGTGTGGTACTTCTTGAAGACGGTCTAAAGCACGTATATGATCTAAAGTATCGATCGAAGGTGATAAACCACCGTGTAAACAAAATATTTGACCATCAACCAGAGCAGTTAATGGTAAATAGTCAAATAGGTCCGTGAAGAATTTCCATACGTTAGCGTTGCCATATTTACGTAAACATTCATCGTAAAATCCATATACCTGTGTGATCTGCCTTGATTCATGATTACCTCTTAAAATAGTTATTCTTTCTCTATATCTGACCTAACAAAATATGATATTTATTTTATGATTTTATACAGATACTTGTATTTTTGTGTCCTATTTATTCATTTATAGTATTTTTTAACATATACAGTGTTTTTTTAAAGAGATTGTACCTTGAGTGCAACAAGCAAGGTAACAGTTTCAACAGAATAATAGCCACGGTCTACATAGTCACCCATAAAAAGGTAATTTGTATCTGGAGACTTGCCTCCTATTCTGAACAATTCCATTAAATCATGGAATTGTCCATGTACATCTCCACACACCGTTACAGGGCATTTTACTTCTTGTACGTTAGATTCTTTAGCTAAAATTTCCTTTGCCTATAAAAGTACATCAATTTCTGTATTATTTATTATTACTATTTATTATTATTAAAAATGTTGATATATCGCTTAAGTCTAATTGTTCTAATTGTATATTGTAATTGCATGTTAAACAACTTAACTAAATTGCAAATATTTATGCAATTTTACAATTCAAATATTTTAACGAAAGCTGCTCTTTTAATATTCTTTATGTTTTTTCCATGTCATAGTATTGATAAATTTTTATGTATTTAAATTTTCTACAAATGCATAACCATTTTAGAATTTATCTCTAAGAAATCATAAAAATAAGCATTATGATTGCAAAGAATATTGCATTTTTCGTTGAGGAATTCATTTTTATATGTCAAATGTATTAGCATTTTAAAATAAATTAATAATAACAAAATTGAAAATATTTGTGCAAATTCGTAAACAAAAAAAAAATCTTGTTTCACTTACTAAACGTAACAACGACTAGATATTTTTTGCATATTGCATAAAGTTCTACAACCTAGTAATGATATTAATTAACACAATTTGTATTAAAAAATGGTAGAAATATTTCGGAAACAGTATTGAGAGTGCAATAAATTAAATAATTGCATTACAAATTAAACAATAACAGCGTAAATATATAATTGCTTTTTCTTCTCATTTAAATGTAAAAGCATTTATTTATTTATTGAAACAAATAACGCATATTTCTACTTTGAGCGTCCGAATGTTGACAATAATTTGTTAACGGACAGATGTAAAATATATTTTCTTATTTACAATTTTATATATATATATATATATATA